TATATACATTGTTGGAGTATATGAGTTGGAATGGGATTGCTATTGTCATGTATGTATATCAGATTAGCTAATCCCTAGAATTATAGAGTTATAACTGGAGAAATATATTGTAACCTATGTGCATAAATAGGCTTATTATGTTCATTAAATAAATTAGATTCAACTAGCTTACATATATAGATATGTATGTGTGTGTATATGTATAAAATAAAAATGATATATGTTAGTTGTAAATAGCTATAGCTTAGGGATCTGTATGTAATTTATTATTGCTTATTAGTCCCTCTCTAATCCTATAAATAGAGGGCTCATCTAGTCTTGTATACACATCTTATATAATACCAATTCGGTTTCACACCATTTACAATATATAAACACTAGCAGGTTGCATATATATAAATATGCACGCAGAAGTAATTGAATACAGAATGATATGCCTTGTTGGATACCTGCAAATCCTTTTCCCCAGAATATGAAATCAGTGTTGTCAAGGATATTCGGACAATAATGTCAAGCAACATCTTTCCCTGAGTATACTCTGCAGAAAAACTGAGCAACGCTTTTCTGGACTGCTGCATCTGAAGCAAGGTAACCTCATCTATGGAGTTTCTATAACTTTGCATTTCCCCAATTATCATCAAATATGTACTGGACCATCGGGCAAGGAACCACATAATTGCCTGTAGCACAAAGCCAAAAAACTGATAAAGATCGTAGAAAGGAAAGTGTAAAGCAACAAGTTAGACCAATAACAAAAATTGGAGTTCATTGGAACCATCAAAACTTACTTCTATAATTATCAACACACAGATCTAGAGCAACCATAGCTTACAGCTTTTATTTGGCAGGACAACCAGTATATTTGCTAGTAGAATGAGAAGTTATACTAATCTGGATGGAATTAATTGGAATAACATTACCTAACATGTACAAAAAGACACAAGGACAGCAGCATAGATGGCTATTTCAGTACTGTGTAATATATAGCTATTTTTGTACTTGGATCAACTGTTAACTTTACAAGAAGACATCAGTTTCGCATTTAAAAGTTACACTATTCCTAAAAAGAGAAAATTATACTTCATTTGTCATACAAACATGCAATTAGTGATTCTCTATGTAGTTCAATGGATGTTTTGACCATTATCCAAATGACCGAGTACCATATAAAGACAAGGGAGATTACATTCAATACGATCAATGTCTGTAATGACGATAATGGGCAAGAAAATAAGTTTAACTTGGAACTTCTACAGAAAATGAAAAAATAGCATTAATATGAAACAGGTCTAAATAGAAATCATTAACCTTTTTATGAGAAGAGGCATGGTCAACCCTCAATCAGATTTACTTATGCCCGGAAAGCTCGTAAGTAAATAGGCAATAAAATAGGAGGGGGCATGAGGGTAGTAATGTCACACCCCAATTTGATGTTCAAAACCAAGACCCAGTTGTGTGTTGCATTCTTTTTTGTTACCTTTGATCACAAACACGATATAGCCTAGCTTTATAGACCTAGTGGAAATGACTAAAATATAAGTTTGCATCATATTAAAGGTTTGTACATAGGATGGAACCAACCTTGCAACATAACAATCTAGAACTAGAACATAAAACTACTACCCACATTACAACAGTTCCTATCATTGTCAAAACTCTACCAACTCCGGACCACTCTTGTGAGCTCTACTCTCGTCACTTCTCTAGATACTTACATGTGACACATCTACATTTTTAGGCAAATACATTGCCGAGTGATTACACACTTCCCTTGATATGCATGTAGCAAAACTTTCATGCCAAAATCATATAACACATAGAGTTTTCATCCGTATTTACATAATCTTTCACGAATGAACCAAACCGATATAGTGGAGTTCAATACCGATAAGTGTACTCGGAATCCCCTCATCAGGGTCCAGGACCGTAAACATGACCCCTTCAAGATTTGAGTAACCCGGTGCATCAACCATTATCCTTGTTTCATTTCGCCACTTTCGCGAATTTAAACTTTAAGAACCCTATTCCCGGTTGAATCCATCCGTACCAACATTTCAATAAGAATGCAGTTCCGTTTGAGATATGTAATGAAAATGCATTTTATAAACTTTTACCGGCATGTAATTGTAAACAAATATATTTGGAATATATACACATAACATGTATCACACATAAATCATGAAATCCATTTAATCACCTTAGTTTTAGTGATACCAAATGTAACTGTTTGCAATCCTGTAAAATTCTGATGAATCCTATCACAACCATGTGCCCAACACTAGCTCTAGTTTTGTGAGTTGGACAAGGTTTGAACCTCCTCTTACCCTCTGTTGTAACTCCTTTTTCTTCTCCTCAAAAATCCTCTTGCACTCTCTATTTTACAGAGTGTGGGCAATTGTTATGCTGGGAATTCCAAATGAATATAGAGGAGGTATGAGGGTATTTATGCACATATGCATTTAAGAGGTGGAGAGGTGAGCATTTACTGCTCAAAATTCATGGCTTAAGGGAAGGGATTGCTCTCTAGATTTAAGAAACTAAAACCTAGGATTGGATGTATCAGCGAAGCTCTAGATTGCACATACATGGAAGTCCTTACACACCAAGGAGGACACCCGTTCATCCAAGAATAGTCAAAAGCTTTCTATGATGTTTTAAATATCTCCTTGAAGAAAGCTTTGTTGGCAATCCACCAGGCACATAATGGGCCTACGTGATGTGTATGGACTCAAAAAAGCTTGAGGTTTGCAAGGCATACACAATTTACATACTTGAACTTGAGGGACTCTCTATTCCCTACTAACTACTATGATATGCTAGTAAATTAACTAACATATAAGTTCATAACTATATATGAATAAATGAATGTGTGCAGCTACTAAAACATGAATCATTGGATTCGAATACAATCACAATACATTTCATGTAGACAACCCAGACCTGATTTTGAATACTACTTTGTCAATGGATGTTTGTTTTCTTTTCTCTCATAATTTGACCTATTAAAGCACTCATGTGATGCAAATGCCTTATACCCACCCAAAATCTGACCAATACCTAATTACTCAGGGAAAGAAAATCCTTCAAAAGGCATGGGTAGCTTCATGTGGGAAAGCTTAGGCATTGTCTTTGATCACCAAGCAAATGTCATGGTCACCTTCTCAAGTTGCAATATCCGATCAGCACCTTACAGTTTTGAATTGAACAAGAAACTTTATATGATATTGATTGCTTTGTTCCTTCATGCAAACAACTAGATATGTTAAACTAAAACTATGATGTAAAACCTATGTATAAATAAGCTTTGTGAATCACATTGTGCCTGCAAATGATTAAGTGAACAATATGCCTTCTCACCTCTTTGTCACAACTATGCATCCAATTCAGCCTAAAACTTCAACCATGGTGCTGTTAATTGTGGTGCTATAGCACGGTTAGCGGTCCTAGGGGAAATAGCGGTTCCACTAATAGCGGTGCTAATCGCCGCAATTGGGCCGCAATTTTGATTTGTAATAGTGATGTGAAAACCGCTATTAGGAGTTGGGCTTTCAGTTGGCCTTTTAGAGGGTTTAGAGAAGTCGGGATTACGAGCTAGGGGCTGATTTTGATTTGCAATATTGGTGTGTAAACTCGCTATTCCTCTCTCATCTCTTCTATTCCAGTCTATATCTTGCATCTTCTCTTCACAACAATATTGTCTTCCAACATCGGTTGCTTGTCATCTCTTCCATTCACGTGTTCTTATCTTCATCTTCAAAATATATACTATGTTATGCATACATTCATATATAATTGTAATGGTTACATCAACCGCTATTTGTGGACCGCTATACCATCGCGATAACCACTATATCAAATCACGGTCTTAACCGCTATTTCAGATTTTGACCGCTGTAACAGCGTAGCAACCATCATTCAGTAATGATACACTCTTAAGGAGGTATGCGAATTGATGTACTTATTGGATCCGTCGGGACTGACTTTGATGCAAAAAGAAAGATTAGTAGTCTTTCAAGCATTACCTCCATAAGCCGAGGGCTGAAGAAAGCTGCTCTCATATTTGGATCTAAACTCTGCTCGGCAAACTTTATGATAGACCTTCAAAAACAAAACAAATTGCACCATAGAAATGACATTATTTGTTCCAAATAGCAAAAGTAAGTAAAAACATCTTCAATATCTCTATAAGCATAATTTCTTAAACTACACCATAAGTAAACATAAGCCCATAACCCCTTCACAAAAGAGAACACCATGAAAGATCAGTACTATGACCAGAAAACATCTTTAGATTCCCTTAATGCTCGATGTCTAGAACTGTATTCATTGAACAATAAATTCATGTAAACTCTCAGAACTGTTGCTTTAACTCCAATAATATCCCTTATCAGACCTAAAAGGATAGTATTCATTTCTAAAAACATGGTCCACCGTATGTAACAAGTTGCGATTGATTTATTCATACCTCTAGCACAACTAGTAGATAAATAACAGGCTAACACACATTGCAACCAGCTCCTCGTAATGGTCCACTACTCTCCTCCTACAGAGAATCTCGATATGAAATTTTGACAGATTTAGAGCTCCATATAAAGTCTTCCGCAAGGGTACTTGAAATCAGGACTTTTGGGTTTGAATTTGAGCATGCAACAAAACATGGTTGTAGATTATTCAAGTGGCCTACAAACAAGTGCGAAGGGAGCAAAATACGTTTGGCCTGTTGCAGATTAGGTCCGAATGTGCTTCATTAGGCATAGAAAGGTAATCCAAATTTGACATACATAGATGCTACAGTCAACAAGCAGTACAGATATGGAAGGCGTAGTACAGAAAGTTCTAGTCTAGTGACTCCCTTTACTTTTTCACTCTCCTACACTGCAGAAATAGATCAAGAGTCAAAAGTTAAACAACCAGATGAACGGAACCAAACTGGATGGCGGAACTAGGATGTTAAACTGAAGTTGCAAAACAATTATTGAATTTTTTGTTCAAAATGATCCAAGAACCTTCTAGAATAACAAGACAACAGTGTTGTTTGTCGATTGCAAAACAACCATTGGAGTTTCAAACTTAGCATAAAGTCCATAGACATCAAGAAAATTGCAAATAAGAACTTAGACTTCTTGAAAATTGCAAAAATACTCGTGGACATCCTGCATTTGCACAAGCAGTGAACATTCTGAAATGTACAAAAAATCAATGAAATTATTGTACGTCAGTGAAAGTTCAAACACAAACAAATATACATATCAAAAGGTGAATGGGGATCATGAAAATTCAGGATTAAAAAAAATTCAAATCTCATGATAAGAGAGCAAATTCTAATTAAGAGACAAACACATCAACTGTGATAGATCCATGGGATCACAACGACACTATTCCACAAATTAAAGAGATCGACGTTCATCACAGTAACAGATACTCATGTTAGGTAACATAGACGAAAGTCACTCAGCAGGTGAGATCGTAATAGGCTGACAGCAAAGATGATACACCAATTGTAGATGGAGATGCTTCATAAACGTTTAATAAACCTCTGACAAGAGTTGGTAAGCATCTTAAAGGAATAGAACAGGTAAATGAACAGAGGAAAGGATAACACGTCAAACCAAAGTATCTGGAGGAGCATCAAGAGGCTGACTAATAGTCATGTCCCTTGAATGGCACAATGAGCCTAGTTGTATAACTTTAAGGTTGCAATGATACAAGAAGAGATGTAGGTTGTTGATGAGCTACCCTTGTACTATCAATGCACCTTGTTGGAGGTCCTGTTACCCTCTTGATGTCTAACCATAATTCACTACTTCTAGTAGGAGCTCATATATGACAAGATCATTAAAAAACAGCAGTTCATAAGTATCTTGTGACTTGAGACATGTTAACCACAACCACATAATTCAACAAATCAAAGAGATGATGTCTACCGTATTAGCAGAGACTCGTATCATGCAACGTAGACTGACATTAAAGACGATACACCTCGAACTCTGGCTAGAGTTCGTAAGTCTTACACTGATGATAGGACATAGGAAACAATGTGTGGGAAAGATGTCAGACCAAAGCATCTGAAGAAGCGTCAAGACAAAGCAATCATGGCCCTCAAGAGGCACAATAAGACTAATTGGATAACTTTGGTTGCAGGGGTACAAGATAAGGTGTAGGTTTGGAATGAAATGAGCTTCATGTAGAAGTAGCCAAGGATAGTGAGGCATCAAGAGGGTCAGATGACCTCCATTCAGATGCATTGAGAGTACAGTGGTAGCTTTGAGAAGCAGGGAGCCACCAGCAAGGCTTCAAACTCTTTAAGAGGGTCGAGTCTTGTAGGTGGCAATGACCTCTTTCATAACCACAGTGGAAGGAGACAAAGAATGCAGCAACGGTGCCAAAGAGAGGCTTCAGAATGAGGACAAGCAAAATTAATAAACTAAACACTTTGTTTGGCCGGCTATGTGCAAACCTCTCATGTGGTTGTCCCATGTTCTAACCTAAAGGCCCTAATATGATGGAAGTGTTTTGGGATTGAGAAAGTATGTTCTATTAGTAGGGGATAATACCGCTCATACAGTGCATTTGATGGCCCAACGGGCTAAGACAGACTGATTTATTAAACTCACAGCTATTATTTTCTCTCCCAACAAGAAAGAACTGAAAATATTACAATCACGTATCCTATATGATACAAAAAAGAGAAATCTTCACAAAAGGAAAGTGGGAGGTTACCAAGAAAGTATAACTACTGGATGCTTGTCTGTTTCCACATACTCTGAAAAACGTGTTTCAATAGCCATTGGTATCTGAAAGCAGTTAATTGCAAAATTAAAGAAATTTCTTCTAGAAAAATGCTATGCATGTAAAAAATGCTATTAAAGACAATCATATAGTGCAGCTAACAGGTGTTTGCTGGAATCAACTAAAAGTCTAAAACATTGCAGGACATTGCTTGAGAACTGTATTTTTTTTGCCAAGAACTAAACATATAGTCACTTCAACGACATGATGGAGTTGATGTTGAAACTAGAAGCCAAAAATAAAAATGTTGATTTGCAAAAATTAAACTACCAAGAGGCCCTTGGTCCAATGGTACCTATCAAGGCTCTACAACCTTTATTTAGGTTATGAGTTCAAGTCTCTTTTGAGACATTGATTTGTGAGTTGGTCTGCAGTTTCAGAAAAGAATTTGATAAGATTACATGATCGACATACAAATCAAAATGAAAATGTAGTTTGCCCGCAAATGCAAAGAGCCCATCATACATTCATGCCATTTGCTAAAACTACAATGAAGTACTGGATAGAGGATATAGCATTATACTGAATATATATGCCAGAACGTCAGAAGTGCATGAATTCAGAAAGTAAAATAACAAGAGAAGCAGGACAATAAGTAATAATTGATTATTATTCACTAGCATCAAAAGGAATACTTTCATGGGTTTCTACCAGGGAAAAGAACAAGTAACTAGTGATCTGATGTCTCAAGTTCCTGCTAAAAAGAGAAGGAAAAGAAAAGTAAAACTACCAAGGGTGTTTCTCCCTCTCCTTCATCTGCCAATACATGACCAGTTATCAACAGAAGTGAATAAAGCTCTTCCATTGTTGTAGTTGGATCATTTATAGCACTTCCCTGTAATAGTGCAAAGATCATCATGGAAAGACCACACAACCAAAATAGCATTGCAGTTACTAAAACTAATAGAACAGATGAACAGAGAAAATGGAAGTATGAAACATGTACTTTTTAGAACAAGGTGATTAGTAATATAACCTAACATGGAAGAAATCCAAGTGAAAGTAACTGTCAAGAAAAAAAAGAAGTAAGAAAACCTAAATTAAGAGTCAGCACATGTTTGATAAGTGTGTACATAGTACCAACTAGTCCACCTAAAAGCTTATGCTAGGGCCAAATACATAGATATCGCCCCCAGGAGGGGGGATTGATTCTTAATATTGACATATTTTTTAAAGCTTGATGGCATTAAATGACATAATCACGTACATGTGTCGCATAACCCATCAAGAATTGAATAATCCTACCAACTCATCATAAAATTCCACTCATGAATTGGAAAGTTTATATCTAGCAACTCACAGAACTCAAAAACTACATTGGTGCAGTTAGTTGTTTTTATCTATAACTGAAATACTTGCTATCGATATTCAAGTTATAACTAGAGAACAACTTTTGTCGTGAAGGGAAAAAGGATTATTCAGTGCTTGAAATATAGGAGACTTGTGGTGTTTCTATTTTGATTCATTGGCTCACCTTGTAGTCCACTTATTCCAACTTGTTTTATGATATAGAAAACCATTCTTTTCATGGAATGAGAGTTGCGACAGAAGGTAGAATACTTAATCATCTGAAAGCAACTACTGTGGCTCCCAGTCACCAGCCCGTACCTGCCTGTTAATTGAACAGGCCAGCAATACCTATCTTCTTATTGTACTTCAGTTCTGATAATCGTTGGTTTTTCAGAAAGTTGTCGGAGAAATGACTAGATTGACTAAGTTGCTGAAGGTTGGTTTCTGGCAGACAGCTGTCATGCAGGGTCTTTAATGAGAAAACTGTACTGAATTTTCAAGAAAAGCCATTATATTCCAGTTCGATAATTCTTTATTTATTTTTTCTTCAGGATAACCAAGAGGTCCTGAGTTCAAACCCAACACGAGGAAGCATGCCAATTAGTAGCAGCAGAAGTTTCATCCCTTCGACTGTGGTTTCCCAGATCTTTCAAAAAAATTCTACACATGATATGTTTGTCAAGTTCAGAACGGTTAGGTTTTTATTATGTTTATATGTTTATGTACATGAGCCCATCTGTTTTTATTATGATATAGGGTTTTCTGCCCAACAGCAATACACATCATTCAAACCCTAAACAGCTATACTAGGTTTCTCCATATTAATAGATTTGGCCTTCGTTACTCAATTTGTTTATGCTTCCTTTATTAAAACCTACATGCTATATAACAATCATTTTTTTCCAAAAACACAGCAGAAAGGTTAATATAGCCAGCTTGTAACATTAGATAATGATTTTCTATGGAAACACATTAACTTCCCAATCCATCTATTCTTCTTGGTAATAAGTGAGCATAGCTAACACTATATCTTAAGTTCCGTATGACATCAGTGAAACAAAATGTGATCCTCTACAGGTGACAAGAACGCAAAAAGCATAGTCACAGTGCTATCGATGTATAAATAATTTGCTTATGCTGAACTTTTGTAAGCATACCTGATGAAGCCTTGCAAAACGCTCAGAGAGAAGTCCAGTAAGAAAAGGGATTGTCACGTCTATAGCAGCTCGTGCAATAAGCGCATAAGAGCTCAATCTCTCATCCATAGCTACATATAGAAAACAGAGGAGTCAGATAGTGCCTCAAAGAGAAGTAGATGAAGACCATGAAGAACACTGGAAAAGGTAAGTCAAGATATATAATAAGATAGGTTACCAGCTACAGAAGCTTGAAAGTAGTCTTCTTTCTCTTCACTGGCTGATGCAGCTGTATCATTCACAATATATCAAATTAGATGATCTTTAGAACAAACATAAGGCAAACATTATGCAGAATCCAAGCATACCCTTTAGTTCTGATTCTACAATTAGGACAAAAAGATTGGCAGCAGCATTTATCCCTTCTGGTGGAAGCAATAATTTCAAACCCGGACTGTTCGCCTCCTGTAAAACATTGGCAACAGATTCAAGTAAGACAAGTCATACGATATACCAAAGCAACCATGTAAGCTACGCACAAGTTGTTCTAATGAGTGTTATATAATAATACCGTATAATTGAACTAATAGACTAATTGACATAATTAGACCTTCCCCAATTACATAGATCAAAGTTTTTAACTTCTATATGGATCAAAACATAATATAATTTAGTCACCAACAAATTAGACTCGTCATTTCTGAAGGCTTTAATAGCCTAATGAGGAATATGACTTATTAGACTACCTGTTGCCAGTAAAACATTAGGAACTCCATGACACTGTAAAATTAACTTGGAAAAAGTATGCTATAATTAATCAAAGACAAATCGAATAGGAATTCGTTCACCAATAGTTATCATCAGCATACTCGATTGACGAGCTACTAGAAAAAAAATTGATATACCACGAGTTAAGTTATAAAATTTAGGTGGATACGTTTATAATCTGTTGTATGAACTATAAATTGGTTTTATTTGTTACATTTGATCCCTACAGATGAGCTTTGGAGTAGAATTCTTTGTTTATATTGATAGATATGCCATAAAGAATGATATTGGTGAGTTTAGACATATAGATGGGTTTCGTTCTTAAATACATTCAGTAAAGGATTATCTGATGATTTATGATGAGGTTTTTATGTACTTCTAGATGTTGGAAGAAAGAATGGATGCATAAGAATGCATGCAAGTCATAAATGAAAAGCAAAGGCATGAGCATCATTGCAACAAGAAGGAAAAACAGCAGGTCAGCAGGCTTGCGTGGCCGTGCCAAAATGAAGGCACTATCTGCACGGCCAGGGAGACCCAACAGAAACATCACAACATGCACCACAAGGGTGTGCCAAATGCAAGCCAAAAACAGCACGGCCGTGTCATACACAGGACAGCATGGTAAATATTTCCTAGGTTTTCAGGCACGATGCTGATACATATATATATATATATATGTATATATATATATGTATGTGTATATATAGGGTCAGGTTTAGGGGAAAACCACAAAAAAAAAATGAAAAACTAAGGAACACCCTGGTAACCATTCATCTGGATGTTGTGCACATGTTCATACAAGAAATAAGCAATTTTTCCGGTATGCATATGTGCATAACATGCACACGTGCATAAAAACCAAAAAACAGCTTCAATTACTTGTATGCACATGTGCACACTGTCCAGATGAACGATTACCAGAGTGTTCCTCAGTTTTTCATTTTTTGGGGGGTTTCCCCTAAACCTCCCTCTATATGTGTGTGTGTGTGTGTATATATATATATATGTATGTGTATATATAGAGAGTTGGGTTCATAAGAGAGCAATAAATAATTAAGAAAATAAGAAAACGGTCAAAAATCACATGTGTTTTACACTAACATCACGTATAAAATCACATGCACACCCTTTTGTTGACCGTTAATATAAAATCACATGTGATTTTGCACATGATTTGACCGTTTTCTTATTTAGTTATTGTTCTAGTTTGAACCTACCTCTATATATACATGTATGTATATATATATTATATGTATGTAGGGTCAAGTTCACGAGAAAACTGCAAAAAAATGAAAAACTTGGGAACACCCTGATAACTGTTCATTTAGACCGTATGCACATATGCATACAAGTATTTCAATACATGCACACGTGTATATGCACGTGTGCATGTTGTGCATAACATGCACACATGCATAAAAACCAAAAAACAACTTCAATCACTTGTATGCACATGTGCATAACGTTGAGATGAATGGTTACCAAGGTGTTCCTTAGTTTTTCATTTTTGGGCGGTCTTTCCCTGAACCTCCCTCTATGTATGTATATATACATATGTATGTATGCAGAGAGAGAGAGAGAGGTTCGGAGGAAAACCCCTAGAAAAACAATAAACTGAGGAACACCCTAATATGTAATACCCGTTCATATGTACGGTATACACATGTGCATACAAGTAGATGTTTCCTAGTTTCTATGCACGTGTGCATACCGGAAAAATTACTTGTATGCACAAGTCCATACCATACAAATGAATGGGTATTAGGGTGTTCCTCAGTTTTTCATTTTTTTTGCGGTTTTCCCCTGAACCTACCCCTATATATATACGCAGAGAATGGAGGGTTCATCTGAGATCCATTCAACCTATTTCCATACCCACAGAAGAAAAGGAGTCAAGGAAGAGGGAGCACTATTCCCAATCCCTAACTTAATGTATACATCTTGGGGAATCGACACTTGATAAAACAACCAATTACCGTCAAAAGCGTTGTCCAGGTATCTAGTAAGATATCACGTGCAACCCAACTCCACGGCTCTTCATCCAAATCCTTGATCATAAGGTCTTTAACAACTTCACACATTAAGGCAGACAACAGACTGAGTGTGCCAAAAGGCCTGAACATTGAAGAGGTAAAAAGAAAACAAATGAGTATATGTAGCGTTGAACAAAAAGTGATAGATTCATACAAGCGCTAGAAGTTTAGAATTATTGAGTGTTTTTTTGTTAGAAGCCACATGACTAACCTTATGTGCTTCAAGAGCTCATCAAAACTAACAGGGTTGGTAACAGCAGCTATGGATAACAGTCCACGACAGCCATCAAGCAGCTCACTGAACAATTAGGTAAGAAAAAGATAAAACACAACAGTAATGAGGGTTCATTTCACTTGCCAGAGATATACTACCTTTCACTTCTTCCACATTCAATTGCTTTGGCAACAACATCAGGAGGATCAATCCATTGTATGATTCCAGATATCAGTTGCAGAAGATGCTTGCCTTGTGAATGACCAGCATCTGTAATTGAAGAAACCAGTAGTTTAAATAGAAGCATTTGAAGAAACCTCAAAAAAGAATGTTCCAATAAATAACTGAACACACCTAAAAGACAGTTCACAGCGTCATCAATGACCACATAGGAATTTTCAACCTTCAGCACACAAACCAGTGACTTCCTTACATGGATAAAATGAACAAAATTGAAAGAAACAAGAAGAAATACAAAGTTGTAGCGTACGACACCAAGCTGACTTGAGAAACAAAAGGTAGGGAATATTAAATAATCCACACACCAGCCTCACTTATCTCCTCTTACAGAAAAAAATTTCTAGGGTTAACACCCAAATTCCATGTCACATCCAGGACCTTTTGGGCTTGACATATCCTCTATGAATTTCCCTTCAGTTGTGATACATTGTGCTTTATGAGATGAGATATATGTGTCTTTGAGTGACATGTTTTTATGTAGCTCTGATGGGTATAAGACCTCAAACCAGACGAGAATCAAAACTGGTATGTACAGCTTAGTAAATGATCAAACGAGGAATATTAGGCATTGGCCACTAATCATAATATAGGAATTGTTTAATAATATTTATATCATAGATGATGACATATAAAGTATTTAAGAGGTTATAAGACATGCTCTACATGTCCTAAAACTTTTATGGGTTAGGAAGGCAAACTGGATTTTTCAGCAATGCCAGGGCAAAAAAAAATAACTCTGAGTTCAGTGCAAGCAAGGGGTGACATATTATCGTGCAAGCATGACCATGCGGCTAGTGGGATGCCTAGTAATGTTTCTGTCCATATATATTATAAAACCATATCTGGAAAAATTCACCAGTTCTTCTGCATGAATACTTAGCCAAGGCATTCCCTCATTCCATAAAAATTCTCTTAGAAATAAAGGGCTACATGAACAAGGGTAGAAATAGTGAGGCCCAGCTTACAAATAGGGTAAAACTGTTGCGGATTTTTGAGTGTTTAATCATCAAGGTTGTGGCAAACAACACTTTCTAAGGATTTAAAAAAATATGAGTTGAGTTTATGGAAGAATAAGCAAGTATGTATGTTCTTGACAGAACTATGAAGCACCACCTAGTTGTAATGATTTTGGTTGCTAGAGATCTTAATGGGTTGTAAAATGAAGTTACATAAATACAGGTGAATTCAGGGTTTTTTAATTAGATGAAGTTTTTTGCTCTTTTGACCATCCCCATGTAGAAAAGCACTAAACACATTGTTTCCCCTCTGTTGGGAAAGGTAAGTTGTAAAAGTTCTATACTTCTATCTCATCCATATCGTTGACCTAGGGGCTGATTTTGTCGGTATGAGTTTGTACTGTGTTGAGTGATGATTTAAATGGTTCAAGGGGGTGGTTTAGGGTGCATCTTCTCAGGCGTGCAACTGGAGAAGAAAACAGAACTAGTTGTGCTTTAGGCACTGTATTTTCAAAATGAAATATGAAGCGCAATGTATACCATTTCAGAGTGAAATAGGAATTGCGCAGGAATTTAGTAGAAACATAAATAAAACATGGAAAGATGATCATAAATGAATCCAATGACCGTGTAGTTTATAGTCCAAGCAACAAGGTGTAGAAATGTCATAACATGGGCTACATCCATGGGCATGATTTTAACAGCATGGGAGGCGTACGCCTCGAGACGCGCCTGCGAAGCGGCCCAAAACCTTATGTGAGGTGACGCTTCTCCAGGATGGCTGGGCCAAACGCTTTGATTGACCGCGGAACTGAGGCAGTGAGGTGGTGAGACAGTAGTGAGGCGATCGCCTCTATTGGCTGTTCTGATTTGTGTGAATCCACACAAATGCATTGAGCCTTCTCTCTCAACTTGGAATCGGCGCACGACCTCCTTTATTCTCTCTCTTACTTATTGGAGTCTCCCCCCGTCCCACTTCGTATATTTTCATTGTGAGCAGTGTGTGTGTATACTGTGTCTAGTGGTAATACACACACACACACACACACACACATATATATATATATATGAAAATTGTGTCTAGTGGCCGTATATATGTAGTAAGTATTCATGTATCTTGTGTCTACCATATTCTGTATCTATCGTGTTCAGTGCATAATAATTTGGAGAGAGAGAGAAGGAATGGATCAAATTTATTATCATGAAATTGATGAAAGCTTTGGAGAGAACCAGCCTCTCAAATTGCTGGAAGTCGTAGTCTTTCAGTTTCGATAAAGCCATAAAGGAAGTCAAATATTCCAGCATTGTGCATCAATTGGTATAGAAGTGGTTGATCATGGAGGCCATGACAGGAAAAAGTATAGTATCAAGAGTGTGAGATGGAACTATTGCAACAGTACAAGTAGAAATGTCATTGCTGAAAGAGGATGTTAGGAACACAATGAAACAAATGGAATAAATGATTAAATTACAAGAGTGCCAACGAAAATCAGAAACAGCAGGAGAATCTTCTGTAGAAACAGATTCTGGACCACCAGTGAGGCGTAGGGACAATGAGAGAAATCCGGAAAAAATCAGGTAATAACGTAGACTAAAATGTCGTAAGATAGAATTGCTGATTCATGATGGAATCAGCCCAGATGGGTGGAATTTGTGGGCTGGATGTTATTTTGAGCTTAATTGGCTTATCAATGAAGAGAAATTGGAAGTTTCAGTGCTTGCGTTTGAAGGAGAAGTTTGCGGTTTAATTGAGGATCTAAGTCGACCCCTCTTGCATTGGGAAGAAGTGAGAGAAAGTTGTTGAATCAGTTTAGATTGGTTGGAGAAGGTAGTTATGCAAACAGTTTCTTGCACCAAGGCAAGAAGGAACAGTGGTCGATTATAAAATATAATTTGTAATATCCATTAGAAATCATACCTGAGAAATCAGCCAATTATGAATGGGATTAGTCCAGAACTCAAGTTCGGTTACTAACGCTGAGTGGTCCGAGTAAAGCAATGGAGTTGGCACAAAAGATGGAAGAAGAATAAAGCAGTTCAGTTGTCCAGAAAGAACAAGTCCATGGGCCTCACCAGGAAAACAATCAAAGGTGTGGGAAAAGGATCAATGACAACTAACCAGCAATGGAAAACCCAAATGCAACACAAACTTTTATGTTTTGATATACAAGAAAATTATTAAGTTATCCATCACAAATTCTCTCATCTTTGTTTAATTGATAATATATCATCATCAACCTAAAGCAACTATTGCAAAATTCATGAAAATCTTGCCCCAAAAAATAATAATAACAAAAGCCAACAGGAACAAACATTTAACATGCTTTAAAAGAGAAATGCTTACCAGATGGAAATATAGTTCCTGTCAGCGAACAAAGCTGTACTATGACTTTTCGAGCAGAAACTGCAAGAGGACAGTCAATCCAGTAACCTTTACATGAGAATTTCTCCCTCAGGACACCATACAAGCCCAAAACCCACCCTGTGTGAGCACTTGTGATCAAAATATCACGCCATGAAGGACCAGGCTTCAAAAAATGTAAAAGCTTAGTTATGCTTATGTCTTAAAATTAGTGCTGCATAATACACCAGTTGATTGATGCAACAAATTAGTTAAATAGGCAACATCATGACGGCAAAAGATTAACCGCTCCTAAATCGATTAGTCAACAAATTTGGTGATAAAAGAGAACTAGTAGTAAAAGAAGAGAAAATAAGAAGCGCAGAAAGAACTCTTATTTCACATATTCTGACAAGTGCAATGGTCTTATTTATCGATCAGTTAATTGAATCCTAAAGCAGTTGTACTTCTTCTCAATTTCCATTTTAGTCACTGGACTCTCAATTTCAATCTCATCAATGCAACCGATTACTCGAGCTTTCAGTAAAATAACTGAAACGTTAAATTGTGAAAGTTCCATGCTTTCTATGCAGATCAGAAAATTCCAGGACAAAGTAGAGATTGGATATCAGTATGTTTTTTATGCAATTGGCTCTTTATCAACTGTTGAAAGTAATAAAACCATTACCTGGACCAGTGTATAAGCTGAGTTACTATCTTCTTTAGCAACAAAGGAAAAAACGTCTATACTGTTCTTCACAACTCTGCCACTGTTACTAAAGTCCCAGTTAAGAACTTGGAGCATGAAACGAAGTGCTGTTGAACAAACTCTTGCTTCTGAGATAGCAGTATCAGAATTTATAATTGCAGTTGTAACACTTTGGGCAGCCTCCATTGCCCAACAATAAAACGTCTGTGCCATTAAGAGAGAAAAATAAGGAATAATGAGAAAGTGAGAAGCATAAAGATAAACTTTCTAGGGTCCCATTCTGTAGATCTTTCCGTTTTCTTTTCAATTTGAGTTCTCTTGTTTTACACCTCTACGAAGTAGGTACACCATAAAAACATTTTACTGTAATACATGTGGTCCATCTGCTTTTCACAAAAATTCAAAGTTACTCAAAGTGGAAAACTTCCGAACTCAAGGATTCCCCTTTCATAGTTAAGTTCAAAAAACATCTAAGAATGGCTTGTTATACGAGCTCTGGAAGGGAATGGTTTAGAGAGGACAAACAACAAAACCTTCAGATAATCATGCTCCAAAGATGTTCGACATTGCTCATGGAACTCCCTAGGAAGGCCCAGAGCAGTAGACGTAGATGGAGAAAATTCAGACACCTGAAATTTATTTTTGTAGCATGAGAAATTTGTAGCAGCGAATTAGAATGGAGCTGTGGTATTCAACAACATCATGTGACACATACCAATGACTCAAGGAAATTGATTCCAGTAAACTGCACATCTAGTCCATGGTTACCGACTATAGCCAGTTGTATCTGAAGACAAAAAATTATCATGAAATTCTGCCAATGAAAAAATGAAGTTGTTCATAAATATCACGACAAAAGAGGTAGAATAGAATCAACTCCTAGCCTTGCCAAACCATATTGATGTCATTAGTTAAACAAGCAATACAACCATATTCATTCTACCGAGTTAATCATATAAAATTTCAAATAAGTAAAATTCTGCATGTAGCTACTAAAAGAACTATTTAGACAACATTGGTGCTCTTTATTTGCTTTCAAAATATTTATAAAAAAGGTAATATCAAGAGATGTATAGACTATAATCTACAGGGACTGGCTATTCGAATGCTATTAAAATAAAAAAAGGAGAAGATGATATAAGAAATAAGAAGCACCCCACCCCTCCACCAACAAGTACATAGTAATCAGCGGTAGATCTTCTGGTAATAGGACAACATGCCTAATAAGCATCTGAAAACTCAACATAGAAACTTTCCTGGATCTTCTTAGTGAATGCTCCAGTAGCAAGACGAACTCCATAATTTGAATACAAAATACCCCTACGAATGATCATTTATCACGAAAGCACTTTTTCACTCTTTCATATACTAGGGGATTTCACTTAGAAAAGAGCATCCCAATGTCCTCTACATATCGAGCTAACATGAATTAACTGATCATACTAACACATGCAACATGGTGTTGTGTAACAGACAGATAGTTAATTCTGATGACCAGTCCATATTTCTATGGATTCCGAGAAGACTTGCCCACATAAACGTCTTCGTCTTTGAAGCATGGGAGCATACTATCATAGAATATCAAGAACATAACTGCAGTGACATGAAGGAAGTACTGAGCCTCCCAAGATCTATAATCTGGAATTGTTGTCAAATGAAATTCTTGCGCTCCTCAAAACCCTGGATGATCATCTCCTTTCAATGTCATCAACATACACTATAAGTCTATAACAACAATTCATCTGTTCTTGATGCCTATCGAAGCTACTCATTGTCACTCCAAGAAAAACCAAACTGTTGGAAACTTGGCAGAATTGTCCAATGAAACTCTAGGAGACCATACATAGACCATCAAAAGAGAAAGATTTTGTCCTACTAAACAATAAAACTGGGTTGATGATCCATATAGAGCTCAAGAAAGAAAATAAGAAAGGCATTATTGACATCCACTTAATGGAAAGACCAAAGAGTGATAGCAGCTAAAGTAACACATTCTAACAGGTCATCTTTGACATGTTCTAACATGTCATTTTGGATATACAAGAGAACACCTCTTCATAGTCAATACCATACGCTGTCGCTGATACACCTGCAAATAACCCTCCATAACAAGTCGGGCCTCTAGATGATGAGGGGAGCCATCAATCAAGCTTTATGGTGAATACTTGGTTACAGATGATGGTGCGCTTTCCAGGAGGAAAGATGTCAAGATCCTGGTAGCATGTATCTATAAGGCATCTATTTCAACCATAGTTTTGAACCGCCCTGGGTGTGTGTGAAGGGCCTTAACAGTACCCGGAATAAGATGGTCATCTAAAGGATAAAGCAATAGTGAAAGCACATGAATCATGGAAGAGAGCAATGTGATGCAACCACAAGTTACCTTGTGCGTGGCAATGGGTGTGTCAGGAAGATGAGCTCCAAGAAGATTAGATGTCATGTAACTTGTGGATTATGATGCTACCAGTACCTTTATCAGGCAATGCAGAAGCTTGAGGAACTCAACACCCACCCCCCCCCCCCCAAATCAGGCTATACACAGGAGACACATGTGCCTGAACTGGATGCATGTGTTGGATTCAAGGCAGAGTTCAATCAGCCAGATGACTACTTGAAAGAAACTGGAATCGGAATTTTAGAGCACTCAAAATGTATTAGTGAGAAATGAAGGTGGGAAACTCGGTAGGTGAAAAGAGAACCGTGTCTCATCAAAAGTAACATCAGTTGTGGCAAAATACCGTTTGACACTAAAACACTGATTCCCTTTTTGAACTCTAGAGCAACCTAGGAAGTGGATTAGTTTACAACGAGTATGTCCATGATCACGAACAAAGCAGACGCACCAAAGACTTCTAGGGATGCAGAAAAAGGTTCTAGAAGAAGATTATTAAAAATGCATTTGTCCAATTAAAACACAAGCAAGCAAGCATGCAATTTATCATAATCTCACTGTCAAAACCACATTTCCTTAAGAATGATTCAGAACTTGATGACTTATCAAGAGTAATCAGCAGCATCAAGCAGATGACAGCTCTTGCATTTGATATATCCATTCTGTTCAGAAGCATATGCAAACAATACTGGATGGAAATTTCTTTTTGCCACGGGAAAGTGTTAAATTAGCAAGATATTCTTTGGCGTCCTCACCAAGCAATTTTAATAGATACGTTTTTGAACATAAGCATAACAAACACATAAGAAAGTGATCTAGTTTCTAGTAAATAAGCTCAAGTAGCAAAAAATAAGTCATCAATGAAATTAGTAAAATAACCAAATCTCAAAACTGAAGGGTCCAGCAAAGGTCCCTGAAATATTGGTATCAACTAAAAGCGAAGGAAGAATTGATTGTAAAGGGTATTGAAAAGGATGAATGTACTTCAAGGAATTACCTCAGAGAAAAACCCATCCCTCTCTGCAGCAACGAATTCTAGCCTACACTCAGCCAAACAAGCTGAAGCAGTTAGAAAAACTTCATTCGTGGCTTAAATGTTAAGTTTCAGCGATAATTCATAGTATAAAAATGTGTGAAACAAAAAAGAAATAAAGAGCCAACAGTTTGATCTAAATTCCTGTTTTAGTTAATATATATCATATATGTGTTCAAGAAAATCCCTTAAATGGCATACCAGTGAAGCGTGTGTGCACTATTCTATTTCAAGGATAGAGATACCCAAAATTACTTGATATTCATTTCACTTTAGTAAAGCCATCTATTATCGCCATACAAACTTGGGAGCTGATCTTTCATTCCACAACTAATCTCGAGATCATACATAGATACAATAGGCATAGGGACCAAAACAAGAAATGAAACAAGTGACCAAAATTGTAATTATTTGCCTACAGATAATTGTTTTGGGAACTAGATCGCCACACACTATTTATCATATAAAATGATTGCATATTTTTTATTTCCCATAAAAGGGGCATATTCCTGTGTCGGGATGGGTTTGGGAGGAGACCAGATAGCTACGTGTATGAAAGGGATTTATCCCTGCTGTCTTTTTCTCTATATAAATGCATTCAAGATTTCACAATACATACAAAGAATTCCTGGTAATTTGTTTCATGCAGCATAAGATTTAAATCAAAAGATATGGAAATTTCAATTCAAAAGATTTATATCAACAAATCGATAAGGAGAGACACTAGGTTTCGTGTTGTCTATCTTTTAACTTCTCAGGAAGTCCCATGGTGATATACCACAAAGTATCTTTCTTTCTATTTTTTCATATACATGTGCATGTGTGTCTGTGTCTGTTTGTGTAGGATGCTTTATGAAATTTGACATCAATGTACAATACCCAAAACTGTAGACAAAAAGCTAAAAATCACTGTTCTTCACTGCAAACTGAAGATGATGCGGACAGATAGAATTCAGAGAAGACAAGATTTAAATTATTGGTAAGCTACTTTATATTTCAATGAAATGACAACTAGTCCTGCAGCAGGATGAAGAGCAGCTATTTAGAATGAATAGAGGATCTGGTGACACCTATATTTATTAAGTATAAAATTTCTCTAACGATAAGGTTATCTTTTCTTCAGGTGATTTGATTTCATGACAAGCAGGGGCTTTCTGGAAATAGTGCCTTCTTCTATCAGCATAGTATGTTCCGTTTGCATATACTTAATAAAGGAGATGACATGCATTTTAAGAAAAAAAAATTAAGTAGAATCTCATGGGATACTACATAAAATCCCCTGCTGCTAGTTTGAGAATTCAGCACTCAAGACAATGCACAATGCGAGTAAAGCAGCATTGTCACCAAGCTACCATCCAATAACAAGAACCTATAACTGCATACTCTGATAATAACACAATCTGGAGTTTAACAAATCTCAGTGACGCTCTAAGTAAGAAACTTTCACCAACTTCCAAAAGATATACCCCCTTCAATTTCATCCAAGTCATCATGAGATCTGATTCAACACGTTTATTTTGGCTTTGCTGATGATATAACTTGTAGTCGTACAAACTTCTACAATCTATTTTACTGAAACAACATAAAAGTAGGATTGATTTGTCTATTTTTCACTACTATTACAGAAGAACGTCAAAGGATGGCACATACTTCAGGATGCTCATAAATAAGAGATTTAACCAGATGGATAAATTTTTATGAGGAACTTACCAACCCCTTTTCAGTAATTGAGCTGCAACGGAGGAAATTTTTGATTGAACATAGCCGTCCGGTGAACTTGCATGTTTCATTACATAGGTCAAGCAAAAACTGCAGAAAGTAGAACATTAATTACTGAAGTAACACATGGCTTACAAAGTTCATAAATTTACTTGATACATCGTGGCCTACATATAATCGGCATCATCAGGAACATTTCAAATCAGATTGATTCAGATATAACTTTGACAAGCCTTCTCAACCAGAAGGTACAATTTCTTAAACTTCTTAAGAAGTCTTTAGTGGATTCAGAGAGATCATAATTTTGGACATGAGGCTCTAGAGATACCATTATATTATTCTTATTTCTCATAATTTGAACCTGTGTACAGATCTCCAGACACCTTATATCCACCGTCATATCATGCAGTCCCCTGCCAGCAGCACCTATATCACAGGTACAAAAACTTCCCCGTGACAGCGCTAATACAACTACCCAGCTCACTTCAATAATTGCCTTAACAAATATGCAACCAGGAACCTCATGCTGATGTTGCTATCATCCTGTCCACTAGACTAGCAGTAAGACCATATTATATCAATCACAAGTCCAGGTCAGAGATAAGTTTCAAGCATGTTATTTTCTTTTATTTAATGCCTGATTATCTGATTTAGTAAGAATGGCATGATTACGATGTTTGCTCAGGTAACAATTTACGATATTCTGACTTGTTAAAAATGTTTGTTTATGACTAGGTTCAAGCAGTGGAGGGCGGCATTGGAAACACAAGGTCGTGCACTAGCCGCTCTAAGACTTAATATTTGGTGCAACTCAGTGGGGAGTGTATTGACGAGGGAGTGGAAGTCAATACTGGGGAGGCAAATGGTATCCCAAAAGGACAGCTTCAAGTATTTAGGCTCCACGATTCAGAAGGAGGGAACAATAACACATCGCATGAAGATGTGGTGGAAAAGTGGCAGGCTGCCAAGGGACTGCTGCATTAAAACTGGAGGAACATACTTTAGGGTAGCCATTGAACAAGCTATGTTGTATGGTCGGAGTGTTGGGAGACAAGGAAAGCCATCAGAGGAAGTTGGAAGTCACACAATGAGGATGATTAGATGGACCTGTGGTCGGACCATGTCTGACAGGATACCAAACAGGTCTTTCGGGCGAAGTTAGAAATTGCGTCAATCACAGATAAGTTGAGAGAGAGAAGATTGTCGTGGTCGGGACACATGGCAGCTCCAGTGAGGAGGGTAGAAAGCATGACATTTGATGGGACGAGAAGAAGGAGCAAGCCGAGGAAAACGTGGAATGAGCAACTAAGGAATGAAATGGTGGCCTTGGCCATTTCCGAGGACATTACCTCTAACAGAGTTCTTACAGGTGCAAAACTAGGCTAGTTAGGGGACTTGTACTAGAAAAGACAAAAGGAAGGGAACTGAAGAGATAGTGAGAGCAAGGGGTTAGAAAGCCGGCTGGGTTGTATAGTTTTTTCTATACATTTGCTACGTTTCCTTGTGCATGCTTATGTTTTGATGGTGTTACTTAGCTTTTAACTCGTATTAGTTCTTTCCAAAATTTGGTTGTCTCAAGTTTTCTTTGTCTCGCACATTTTTCATAAGTCGGGGGTGATCACGGAAACGGTCATTCTACTCCTAGGGGTAGCGGACATGTCCGCGTATTTCCCACCTTAAATCCACCTTCGGGTCTGGGTAGGATATATTGTGCCCATTTGGTTTGGTTTGGTTTGGTTTGGATCAATCCAGCTTGAGACGACTCGTATTGGTGTGACTTCATTCAGATATGCTTCTATTGTTTGAAAATATGTGGATTTTGTTTGTTTGGTCAATTCTCCATTGATACTTTGTTTAACATTTTGAGCTTGTTTCTTTATGCTTCGTACAGTTCCCAATTTGAACCCTGATATCAATTCTTTTAACTGGTTATTTCTCCCTGTAGTTCCATGATTCCATCATAATTCAAATAGGAGAAGATAACAAGGTTGTTCAAGTTTTGAAGAAAAAAATATATCTTCTGCGTTTTTTGATTATGTTTAAAATATATCTTCTGCTTATTTGATTATCTTTGGTCTCGGGCATCAAGTTCACAGGAGTAAAGTACTTGTACATTCTAAGTATTAACACAAAACAGCTTTGACAAACCACAACATTATTAGGAAGGAAGGAAAGAGGGAAAAGGGGTATACGTCCAACAAAAATCACATCGCAAAAACCCAAACTTGGCTATTAACACTGATGACAATTGCAAAGTTATAAAAGTACCTAATCAAGCTTTTTTTCTCATCAGGTGAAAGAAATGACCATTCTCGTATAGCTGCATCTCGAATTGCTCCGGCTGCTTGAAACCTTGCATTTGCCAGTTGAGAATTTTCTGGACACAATAAAGAGACTGTTGATATGGAGAAACAAAACACTCTCCGAACATCACTCTTCCTTGCTAATCCAACCGAAAAGTGATTGCAGCTTTTTTTGATTGATTAGAGATCAATAACATTTCAAATGTTGATATCCCATTAAATTCAATTTTTCCTCCAACCGATACCATTTAACATCGCTTTGAATTTGAAAGATATACAGACACTTCTGTTTAACAAATTGCACCAGGCAAATTCTCTTGTATAATAAAAAACTTCATGTTACTCGTAGATTGAATTCTGAATGTTGGTAGACAATGATTGCTTCATTTAAAGTAAAATAACTACAGTTTTCCTTTAGTTAACAAAAAAGTATTCATATTCACTTACATTTTTGTGCAAACATATCTTGTTTGGGTAACAATTATTCAGAAGTAACTATATTCTGAATAAAACGAAATGAAAATTCATGAAAGAAAAAAAAATTACAAAATGCGCCAAATAATAGGTTACAGGAAAATTAAATCCATACATTATTCCATCTGCAAAAGTCTATTGTAGAATGATTAGAGCATCTACTCAGCAATTAACTTTATCTTGTTTTTTGACAGTTACATGAAGTTGAGAAGTTACACAGATGTTCTATTTTTATCTAATAGATTTAAGTTTTTACAGGAACTTTCTATAAGCATGATATAATGAAGTACTAGATGTCCATTCAAGTACTAGATTGGTAAGCATGATATAATGAAGTGTTGGTGGATAGCACTTCTGATGTGTTGCATTAGATGTCCAGTAGATTCCGTTATATAGGGGTTTCATCTTTTTGTCCACATCCCACAAGCCGTCACTTACATCAAATAGCTATTAGCACACTAGTTTACACAACAATTAGGGTAGTTAAGTTGGTTTGAGCATTTTATTCTTGACCAGACAACATTGACATCCTAGGGAACTTTCACCAGGCTCCCTTCGGCCCATCTTACTATCCCACTAATCCTGTTTCAGACAGCCTTGGCTCTTACCACAAGAAAAGATCTTGTTCACATAGATGAACAACCAGACTGCATCCTAGGCCCTCAAATGCGTGGTTGTTGCTATATGCTTTAGTGATAATTAGCCACCCATCAATTATATTCCGTTAAGCAGGGTTACTATTTTGCCTAAATTTGTTTTATTATTTATCACCCAGCTGACAATGTGCTTCCGATAAACAGGTTTCCGCTCATAACATAGCATAACCATCAGCCCGATTATTTACACGGTAGCCAAAATCATATCCCAACTAAAAGAGTCATCGACAGCAGCCTTGCCTCTGCAATGACCATTTCTGACCACTAGAGTTGCACACGGACTGGTAATTGTGTTGGACTAGGCAACTAAGAACGATATCAATTCATTTGAGGAGCTGTAGACATCACTCTAGATTCAAGCTTCCACAATAAAACATTGTGCAAGTAATTAGATCACCGTTATAATTAAAATCCACAATGGCAATCAAGAAACTTCAACATTGGATTAACTTCTTTAGAGGAGCAACATTCTAGTAGTGGTACTCTTTTTCAAAACAAAAAAAAAACTAGTAGTCGAACCTAATTTGAACTATCCTACAACATACTACCTTTTTAGATTGGTGTGTCATATCATATGTGCACTTACTGCTGCCTAAACTGAAGTGGTCAATGTGGATCATAACATATGTTGATCCTTAAGGAAATACCACCTTATAAACCTTACATTTAAGCATGGTAAGAGATGATCCTTAAAAAAGACCACATTATAAACCTTACATTTAATCATGGTAAGAGGCGACTTTTTTCACTTACCAATGATAAACTGGCATGCCTGGTATGGCCGAGGGGACTGGCATAGGGATAATATAGTTGCCTCAGCAGCTAATGGATTTACATTAATCTGCGTATTTAAACAAATGAAAAGGCAAGAATATCCTTAGTACAAGCATGTTTACACCTTGCAAAGGATGGGAACTGAGAGAGTGTTAAACTCCAAATTAATAATAAAGCATATATAATTTTACTCCAAAAATGAATTGAACTTCGAACAAGACGCAGAGATAGGTAATAGGATATACAGCTGGAACCTGGGTTTAAGGTTGTAATAAATTATCGCACCTTAGAAAGTGCAAAACCTAGTCCATTCTTGAACTTTAAGAACTTATTTATGTAATAAACTAAGTTGGATAAATAAAATTTTATCTTAATAAATAAAGCATATTTCACGAAAATCTACATGCAGCATACACTGGAAGAACTTAAAAGTACAAAAGCAAAAACAAACCGCAGACTCACTAAGCATATCAGGACAGCTGATAATAGATGTACTAGTGATCTTCATATGTTCCCTAGAAATGTGTAAAGAGGAACTCGATGTAAACCCATATTGACCACCTATACAAACTCACTTCTGCCAACTACCACCAAAGTTACATCTTTTATAGTTTTTTTAGGGGAGATATAGTAATTACTAGGAGGGAGTGTCAATTACACCTTGCTTTTCTTCTTACTGGTAGGAATTGCCTTAATTTTGATGGTAAAACTGTAGTAGTTACAGATTGACCCATTTGCATTAATGTAGACTGGTTTATCAATCATGACCATAGAAGTCACACTCAATAATTCACCTCCTAACAAATACTTTGATAATTAGCAACTGAGGGGATAACAAAATCAAGTTTTAGTGAATGGTAAAAGAGGGAAACCTGAATAGAGCTGCAAGCAATTTCGATTGCTTGCATAGTGGCTTGAAGCTGACCTAAATCGCTGTTTCCATGCCCTCCATTCATTTCTGTTCAAAATAAACATAAACCCACATCAGCAAACACAAAACACACATACAAAAAACAAACAGACATCTGTAATCAGACACAAGAAAGTGCTTCCATACGATTGTCCGACTGAATAAAAGAACTGTGGTGAAATGCAGTTCAACAATTGAGTAGGAAAAACATCGTAAAATAACTGAGCAGAAACATAAAACAAAGCATACCGATTGCAAAGTTTGATTGAATTGAATAGCAGAAGTTCGACGGCTACGAACAAGAACAGATTAGAATCCAACCAGAAATTGTCTGCAGCGCAGAGGTTTTACAATATACAGAGAAGACAGGAAAGAACAGTTCTCAATTGTGACAATTAGCAGAGGAATATGATGACAATATATAATGTCAGGAACACCCCCTATACTTTGAAAAATGAGCAATTCAGTCCTCTATGGACTACCGACTATCGGGGTGTTCATGGGTCGGGTTGATCGGGTTGTAGACATTTGAACAACCTAATCTAATGTTTGCTGTTTGAAAAATCTTAACCCAACCCAATCCGAACCAAAGTGCAACCCAACCCGTACGGGTTGATCGGGTTGATACTTTGGTACATTAAAATATTTTCTAACCTAAAATATGTTATTTCTCTACTCATAATTTCTTTTTCATCATCAACCATTTGATACAACTTATTCATACTTATTACGTATATCACATTTAGTTAATTTTTTCAATTTACATATATATGTTCACAGTTATTGAACATATATACAAATGAGTTATATAAAGATGTGAATAGATTGAAAATATGTGTATATGAAGAGCATACATGATAGTGTAATTGTCTAATGTACATATTAATAGAAATTCAACAATCATATTAAATCCAAGAAATAAAAGGATACCGTGTTCATCGGGTTGGGTTGGGTTCAAATAATAGTAATCCAATATCAACTCAATACCTACGATTTGACAATTTTACAACTCGATTAGATATCGAGTTGCTTCGGGTTAAATTATTTCGTGTTGGGTTGGGTTGATCGGGTTGGTTGGGTTTTTAAACACCCCTACCGGCTATGGCATGTAATATATTGTAAATCGAAAATAAAAAAAATTGAAATTCATAAATGAATAAAATTATAAATTATAAATAATGGTTAAACATATTTTGATAATATAAATATTACAAATAAAAACCCAAGAAGATATATAGATTTAGGTGTAAAATTAAATATCATAAAATTTCTTTCATATTATAATTTAAATATTTAATATTTAAAGGTAAAAATGTAATTATTTTTTTTATGATGGGTTATTGTTTTATAAATATGGGAGTATATTTTAAATTTGACTCATGACATGTGTCATTTGTAATAAAACAGGTCTTTTATAGTCATTATTTTTTTCTGTTAACTGTATTAATTAAGGTGAATAATAATTAGAAGAGTACTTTCGTAATACAGCGAGATATATATTTCGATTTTAGTGTTTCGTTTTATTTTGTTTCTGTAGATGTTTTAATACGGTTTTTATGTGGTTTTGAAAAAGATATAATGTTTTTGTTTTTTAATAAAATATAATTTAAAGATATCATAAAATTTTGAAAATAAATATATCAATATTAGTATCAAATTAACTATTTAAAAGTTCTTGTTTTTTGTGTAATTTCTTTAATTTAATTTTTTATTATAATTTAATTTAGATTTAGTAACGAAGTAATTTATTTTTGATTTAATAATATAATTTTTTTATAAGGATAATGACTAAGTATTTTGTTAGAACTCAATAAGTATTCTAATTATATTTTATATTTCTTATATTTAAAAAGAAATATTTATCTTGTATTTGACTATATTTATATCCAGTTAGTTACACGAATTCAAACATGAAGCTTTAATAAGTTATACTTACGCACAATTTATTTGTAATCTTGAATTTTAAGTAATATGCATCAATAAACAGTATTTCATGTATAAAAAATTGTTTTTAAAAGTTTTTGTCAAATGCTTTCACATCCTTAACATTGTTATTGCTACATGCCACAATTTGAAGATTTCAGTACGTTCCTCTCTAGATTATTGCTATCTTCCATCATTTTAAGATAACGTCTGTTAATAATACCCATATGAAAGATATAATATTTGTCTATAATAATTAATTGATTTGCTTGTTTGTGTCTACTGTAAGCAGATTACAAGTCGTATTTTGGTCATGTTGTAGTGTATGGTTCCATATGCTGGTAAATGGTGCTGGATTTCGGGTTCTTTGTGGCTTAATTTGTTCTGGTTGTTCTTTTTGGTTCTATACTGTTTCATTAACTTTTGTTCAACTTGTTTTCTTTTAGGCTCGATTGTTTTCCTTTTGTTCATCTGTAAGTCAGGATAATGTAATCGGTTTAAACAAAACATTTGTTGACCCTTTTCTAAATAAGCTTTGTAATCTACACATGGTTGTTGGTATTTTTAGACGCAACTTTTAGTATATTTGGCGCAACTATTAGTATTTTTTAAGCACAACTTCTGGTAATTCTGTCCATTCGTATACATCTATTTATGCCTTGGATATATTTTTTTATGTTTTGAGAAGAGTAATGAAAATGGTATATTCGCTTCGATTTGCATATCAGTTTCAGACATAGAAAAATGTGCAAAACTGTAACACCCTCATTTTTATCATGAGATATGTTACATAATCTAAAATAAATTCTCCATAAATACTCCAAAATGACGGTTAAACTAAAACTTTAGACTATTTACAGCGGAAGACTTTAAAATAATAAATATGTAACTTAAATGCTAACACCTTAGATGCCGGATTGGTTTACAAATTTATCTATTATAAGGAGAACTGATTAATTTTTGATAACCGTGAGATCCAATGTGAACCACTTGTTTGAGATATTTAAGGATATTTTTTTAAATAAGCTAAAAGGATAATATACTAATTCTATTTTTGACAACTAATCAAAATATTTAATTAAATTTTTTTAAGGGAATATTTAATTAAAATTTGTTACCTAATATATCAATTACCTAATATACATCGTATTTTAAAGACGTTTGTGAATCAAAGTATATAATAGTGATAACACTCGCAATGTTTCACGTGTATCACAATGTATAATCTTTGTTTTATGAAAATGTATCATAGTGTGCGTTTTTGTTATTTTCATTGTTTTACAAATGGTATCACATTGTGCATCTTGTATGTATATATCTGGGTATCACAGTGAATATCGTTTGTAGGTATCACAGTGTGTATCTTGTGTTCACATAAGGTTCATCGGAATAAGGTTCACCGAATAAGATTCATTGGAGAGAGGAAAGATGAGAGATGGGAGATGATATTCATAAAATCCCTAAAATGCCCATAATTAATATTTTAAGTTAAATTGCCAAAATTATTAAATTTCTAATTTAACTTTTGATTTATGGTTGAGATTGAATCTCACGGTTACCACAAACAAAACAGTTATCATTTGATTAGGCCCCTATATATATACTAGAAGGGTACTCGCGCAATGCAGCGAGATAAATCTTCATTCTAAAGTCTACCTTTTATTCGTTGTCTCTATCGATATGATACAATTTTATGTGGTTTCGAGAAAACGATAATGTTTTTATTATTTGAATGAAATATAAATTTGAAGATAACATAAAATTTTGAAAATAATAAAATTGATATTAGTATCAAATTAAYGATTTAATAGTTATCGTTTTTTGGTGTAACTTATTTAMTTCAATTCTTTATTATTAGAAGAGTACTCGTGCAATGCARCGAGATACATATCGATTTTAATRTTCAATTTTATTATTTGTCTCTGTCGATGTTATAATACGATTTATGTGTTTTTAAGAAAGCATTAATGATTTTATTTTTGAATAAAATATAAATTTGAAAATATCATAAAAATTTGAAAAAAAAAATATATCAATGTTAATATCAAATCAATATTTAAAAGTTCTCATTTTTTTATGTAATTTCTTTAATTTATTTTTTTAT